GTAGGACGTTAGATGTTCAGCAAGTATCTCGTGTAAGCGAAGTCCTCCAGCTCGTAAGAGGAGCCGAAATACGGTCCGATCCCGGAGCCGTGGCTGCCTTCATAATCAGGATTGCGGCTCGTACTTCAACAGGTAGAAGCCGTGGTGGTAATTCTCCAATGAGAATAACGGGGTTTGACACGGGTGTTGACAAACGAAAGAGATTGGTGTAGAATCTCTTCGTGATCAATTCCATCTTTTGTAGGGAAGATGTGCGAGTTCCTCTTCGTTTAGTAATGTTATGCGGACACGATAGTCGAGTAGGTCGTCGGTACTTCTTTAGACTTCTCCTTCCTTGCGCTGCTTCTAAAATTTTCAATCCTCTACAATCGAAGGCTTCTTGTTGTTCTGCAACTAGTTTTGGCCGCCAGACGCTCGAGATGTGTAGCTGTCGGATCCAGCCTCAGTGCTCTTCTCCTCAGCAGATCATTGGTGGCTTTCAAAATTCGTTCCAAGTTTCTTGCGCAAGGCATTGAGGCACTTTCACCACAGACTCTCAGTCCTCTAAGAAGCAGGTTGTAGTCTTTCGCCGGGTCCTTCTCGATGGGCCAGTCACAAGGGGTCAGGAGCTCCTCCAATCTGACGCCGTCATATACGACTTCCCTCTTTCCTTCAACACGGTGACAGATCTTCTTTTCCAGCTTTCGGCTGAGTCGCACTTTTACTTGAAGGAGGCGGTGATGTAGGCCACTACTGAAGGATGATACCACTGAGACGTCTAAAGCACACCATCGATTGTGAAAAAGTGGTCGACTTCCGCATGAGTCGTATTGGGTGACTCCCGTGTCCACCATCGGTGTTCTTTCTTCATCAAATGAAGTTACCATGAAAAAGTCGTGCGGATAAGAGCCCAAAAGAGGGTTACCATTCTCATTCCGGAGTCCTGATCGAAATCTCCCGATCCTGTGCTCATCTTCTGGCACCCCGATTTTCTCATTGAAGTCACCCACAACGAACGTATATTTTCATTACGGATGACTTCTTCCAGATTCTTATAAAAAGCATCAAGTTCTGAATCATTAGCTGCTGATGTTGGAGAACAGCAGTTAATGATAGTGATGGTGTTCTGATAAATAGGATGGAGTCGAAGGACTGCCAGGCGAGGTGATAGGTTTTCATGCAAAAGGACAAGATGGACAACAGATGGGTGTACTGCAAATAAAGCCTCCAATGTTCCGTGATGAAACTTTGTCACCACGAATGTATGCAATCACTCAGCTGTCCCACGTCCGTCTTCCTTGACTTTGTCTGCAAGGCGATAACGTGGTAGTTGATACGCCCTGCAGCTTCT